GTGGCGGCGCGTGCACGTGGCTGCACTGGTGCTGCCTGGGCTGCCCCCTAGCTCGTCGTACACGTTCTTCCAGAGGCGGCGACCAGTCACCTGCAAGAGCAACACATGAGGGGGCGGCCGGCAGGCGCCCCCTGGCCGCGGGTCCTCACAGCCCCCTCTCAGGAATGGGGCAAGGACTGCAGTTTTGCAGCTGCTGCTTCTCCAGAGGTGGGGCCGCAAGGCTGCAGGGGGTTCGCCTGGCGGCCGGCCAGTGCTCCCTCCCAGGGCCACCTAACTGCTCGCCCAAGCAGCTTTCCAAGCACGGGGAAGGCGGAACAGATGGGAAAGGGAGGAAAACCTGCTTCGGGCAGCAGAGTACCAACAGGCGAGGCAGCCCCACCCCCAGCAGCAGGGGCAGGTTTGGGATCCTGGCTCTTCCTCCTCTGTCTGGAGGCAAGGGCAGCTCTGCGGGCTCGCCCCAGGGAGGCCCTGGGAGATGCAGCTTGGCCAGGACTGGGAGGCGCTCCCTTACCAGCTCATAGGCCCCCAGCTTTTCCACTGCCTTGTAGATTTTCCACAGGTTAACTGGAGGAAAGAGGGCAGGTCATGGTCAGTCACTGGGGGAGGCAGGGGCAGCCTGCACCCACTCCTTTTGCCCTGGCAGGCAGGCACAGACCAGCAAACACCCAATCAGGCCACTGCAGTAGATGGGCAGGCCAGGCCCAAGCACCGGAGGCCAGGGAGGATGGTAATCCAGCTCCACTTGCTCCAAGCCTGGAGGGAGGCATCCTTTCTATTTGCAACCCCTGTAGGCTGGCAGCATCCGGGGTTACCCAGCGTGGAGGTGCCTGCCCAATGTCCTGTCTGGGTGGGGTCCCCTTCTGGGCCCCCCTCCCTGCCTGCACCCCAAGGACGCACTCTGCTTGAAGCCGAGATGGGGCACCCTCTCGATGGGTGTGTGTCGCTCCTTCATGAACTTGTAGAGGCTGACCAGGAAGGCCTGCTCCTCCTCCCGCTCCTGCTCCTCCTCCCGCTCCCCGCCTGACTCGGGGGAGTCCTGGGAAAAGAACAGGAGGCGTTGGGATGGGTCCCAGTTGGGGTGGCTGGGTACATGCAGAAACCAGTGGCTGCAGGGAGGAGTCAGGTGCCTGCCCCAAACCCGGGCTCCCCAAGAGTACCCAGCCCGCTTCTCTGGGCTGAAGTGATTGTTCTTGGGTCTAACAGGCACAAGGTAAGCTCTTAGTGCTCTGGGCCCCAGGGCAGGGGCTGGAGTCCAGGGCCTTCCCAGAGGCCTGGCAGCCCAGGGATGCTGGCTCCAGAGGCTGCCACAGGGCAGTCCCCGGCCTTCTCCAGGCCAGGATTCCTTCTTTGTCTTGCTCTTAGTTTGTTACATCTGTGTCTTAGCTCCTCTGCCGACTGTGAGCTCCTGGAAGGCAGGCTCGGCATCCCGGGGGCTTCTGGGATAAAAGCTGAAGAACAAAGGTGCTTGCTGCTTTCTGGCTTGTGCTGTGGGGCCACTCTGCTGGGCCTGTGCCCACTGGGCCTCTGCAGTGCTGGCCTGCCTTTCTGATCCGCAGCATGCAGTGCTGAACTCAGGTAGGCGGAGCCCTAGGTTTCTACTTGTACATTGCTGTGAGACGCACAGGACTTTTGGTGGCCAGAGGGTCAGTTTCTGCTGATGCTGCTCATCTGGCAGGTGGCTTGAAGCAGAGGGGTACCGGTGGGCTGTGGCTGGGCTCAGTCCCTATATCCTGGCCCAAGTAGGCTTCTGCTCAGAGAACAGACAGCTCCCAGAAGGACATCAACCATCTGGGCTCACAGCAGCCCAGAGAGCCATGTGTTCCAAAAATGTCTGACGCAAGTTTATTTTAGTGTTTTTATTTATGTTTTAGCTGTAAATATCTTCTATAATATTTCAGTGTTTTAAGGTATTAAAGACCTGTGGTAATAAATGACACACAAAGTCATGTGTTACCTATGAGACCGTAACATACTCAAGACCTCAGAACGGAGGCTCCAGGGAAGCTGCGCTTGTAGGCCTTTTCTCTGAATTCTAGGCTATTACCATTTGCAGCCACTTTTCTGCACAAATCAGGACATTCTTCCAGACTGTGCCACCAGAAGCAAATGGCCAAAACGCATGGAAGCTGAGGGTGTGCTCTGAATGGCCACCCACAGCCCTGCTTCAGAGTCTCTGCTCCCCCAGGCAGCCTTGTTGAGCTCACCCAGTGACTGCATGTGTCACTGTTACAGATTTGGAAGGATGGATGGATGTAAATGTAGTTTGACATCATAGAAAAGCGCTTTTGTCTGTTGTATGGATCAGGGTGCAAGGGCATCTTCATTTTAAAAAAAGAGTTCAGTTACAAAGACCAAGATCAAAACCCTCTGCCATAGGTGACAGGGGAGGGCCCTAGGGATGCATTTCCTTCCAGAGAGCTTGGGAGTCTTTCACCCAGAGTCTGAGCACAGGTGAGGGCAGCAGAGACAAGCCCCTCAGGGAGTAACCCAACTCACCTCCAGCCGGATGGGGCTTTGGCTCCTGCTCTGCTCACCATTGGGTGTAGGGGACAAAGGTAGGTCCAGGGGGTTATCCTCCTCTGACTGTTTCCTTTTCCCTTTGACAGGGGGAGCTGCAAAGAGAGGGAAGAAGAGAAGGAAAAGGGAGAGGGGAGGGAGACAGAACACATGAGATACGGGTAGGGAGGAGCAGGTGGCCGAAAAGGGCACCCCCCCACAAAGGAATTGGCTGGGGGAGAGGGGGTATGTCCATGACTATACACAGGCTGTCCCTACACACACACACACACACACACACACACACACACACACACCTGGCAGGGCTGGCCCTGCTGCCCCCTCTCCCTCCATCCCCAACCTGGCCCCCACTGCTCCACCCCCGCCTCTCTTCTGTCCTCTTCTCCAGCCATCTTCCCACATCTTTGAAGGGAACACTAAACCACCCTGGAATCAGAGATGGCTGGGGGTGGGCTCTGGTGCTTAAGAAACTCCTGTCTCAAAACCAGCCCCACCTGCCAGGTGCGGTGGCTCAAGCCTGTAATCCCAGAACTTTGGGAGGCCCAGGTGAGAGGATTGCCTGAGTCCTGGGGTTCGAGACCAACCTGGGCAACTGGGTCTTGTAGAGACCTTGTCTCTATAATAAATCAAAAAATTAGCTGGGTGTGGTAGCACATGCTTGTAGTTCTAGCTACTTGGAAGGCTGAGGCAGAAGGATCGCCTGAGCCCAGCAGGCTAAGGCTGCAGTGGTCATGAGTGTGCCACTGCACTCCAGCCTAGGCAACAGAGTGAGATTCCTACTCAAAAAAAAAAAAAGAGGAAAAAAAAAATGCCGAGCTTCACGTTCAGGCACAGGGCTTTGCAGCAGCCCAGCCTCTTTGGGGGCGCTGCTGAGGCTCCCATGTCTGTGGGCCTCCAAAGCACCATGGAGGATGACTGGACGGTAGAGAGCCAGTGCCCATTTGTGAGACACCTGATTTTTCCCTGGGTATCTGCAGAATTTTAATGGCCCCTAGCTAAGCCACATACTCCCTTCACCTGCAGGGGTCCTGGTGATCCTTCTGACAAGTCCCTTCCTCTGCTGACAAGTCCCTTCCTCTGCACAAGTCCCTTCCTCTGGATGGTCTTCCCCAGGGCCCAGCCAGGGGCAGCTCCTGGTCCTTTCGCGGCCCTCAGCTACTCACAGGCATCCCGACTGAAGTGACTGTCACCCATCTGGCCTGATTTACTCGGTGAGGCTGCTCACACCCACACAGCAGGTGCCCGCAGGCTAGAAGGAGTGGGGCTTTGTGACAACCCTGCGTGGAGGGCAGGAGAAGTTGTGGGCTCGGTTTTACTAAGGGCTGCCATGCGTTGATAGTTGCAAAAATGCAACACCTCTGCCACTGCAAAAAAAATACAGCCACTGGAAGCCGCCTCAGGCCACACGGCAGGCTAGCAGATCTCAGCTCAGAAACTCTTGGCTTTCAGACTTTCAACAACCTTTTCTTTCTTTTATCTTTTGTTAATTGATTATGGACTGTTCCATATTCCTGGTTCACTTCGGCTCAGGAAATCCTTATGGCTGGGAGTTTGTGAGATTTCTCCTCCATCCCAGACAAAGGAATGTCCTCAGGAAAGAAAAACAAAAAAACAAAAAATAATACCAATGTGACCCAGGAAGCCAGCGGTACCCAGAGGCACCAGGTGTTTGAATCTTTGGCCACTGAATGGTATCCTCTTTGGTAGTTATTCAAATAAGTGCTGCTATGCCTGCAACTACTCACTCCTGCCACTTGGGCATCCTTGGCTGCGTCCCTGGCTCTTCCATGTGCAGCTTCACCTTGGAGATATTGTGGGTTTGGTTCCAGACAACCATGATAAAATGAATATCACAATAATGCGAGTCACAATTTTTTTGGTTTCCCAGTGTATATAAAAGTTATGTTTATGCTAAACTATAGTCTATCAAGTGTACAATAGCATTATGTCTAAAAAATGTACATACCTTAATTGAAAAATATTTTATTGCTAAGAAACACTAACAATCATCTGAGTCTTCAGTAGTTGTCAAAAAGAGTTGTAAACTTGCTGATGGAGGGTCTTGCCTTGGTGTGTTGATGACTGCTGACTGATCAGGGTGGTGGTTGCTGAATGTTGGAGTGGCTACGGCAATTTTTTTTTCTTTTTTTCTTTTTGAGTTGGGATCTCATTCTGTCACCCAGGCTGGAGTGCAGTGGTGTGATCACAGCTTACCATAGCCTTGACCTCCTGGACTCAGGCGATCCTACTGCCTCAGCTCCTGGGTAGCTGGGACTACAGGTGTGCTAGGACTACTGGCTCATTTTTAAATTTTTTATAGAGATGAGGTCTCGCTATATTGCCAAGGCTGGTCTCGAACTCCTGGGTTCAAGTGATCTTCCCGCCTTGGCCTCCCAAAGCACTGGAATCACAAGTGTGAGCCACCGCAGCTGGCTGCAATTTCTTAATATAATAATAAAGTTTGCTGCATTAATTAACTCTTCCTTTCACAAAAGATTTCTCTGATGCATGTGGTGTTGTTTGCTGTTTGACAGCATTTTACCCACAGTAGAACTTCTTTCAAAACTGGAGTCAATCTTCTCAAACCTTGCCACTGCTTTCTCAACTCATTTTGTGTAATAGTCTTAATCCTTCATTGTCATTTCAGCAGTGTTCACAGCACCTTCCCCAGGGGCAGCTTCCCTCTTTTTTTTTTGAGTTGGAGTCTCACTCTGTCGCCCAGACTGGAGTGCAGTGGCTACTCCTGGCCACCGCAGCCTCGACCTGCTGGGCTCCGGTGATCCTTCCACCTCAGCCTTCCGAGTAGCTGGAACTACAGCCGTGAGCTACCACTCCCGGTTAATCTTTTTGATTTATTGTAGAGATGAGGTCTCGCCAAGTTGCCCAGGCGGGTCTCGAACCCGCGGGCTCAGGCAATCTATTCACCTCAGCCTCCCAAGGCGTGGGATTACAGGCTGAGTCACCGAGCCCGGCCATGAAATCTATTTCTTAAATAACAATACTTGAAAGTTGAAATGACCCCTTGATCCATGGACTGCAGAGTGGATGCTGTGTTAGCAGGTGTGAAAACAACATTCATCTCCTTGTACGTCTCCATCAGAGCTCTTGGGTGACCAGGTGCACTGTCAGTGAACAGTAATATTTTGAAAGGAATCTTCTTTCTGAGCAGAAAGTCTCAATAGTGGGCTTACCAGCTACTTGGAAGCCTGAGGCGGAAGGATCGCTTAAGCCCAGCAGGTCGAGGCTGCGGTGGCTGTGAGCATGCTACTGCACTCCAGCCTGGGCAACAGAGTGATACTCCAACTCAAAAACAGTAGGGTTAAAATATTCAGCATACTATGCTGCACACAGATGTGTTGTCATCCAGGCTTTGTTGTTCCATTTCCAGAGAACAGGCAGAGTAGTCTTAGCACAGTAGTAGAGTCCTAAGATTTTAGAATGGCAAATGAG